ACTCTGTCTTTGTTTCTCTGTGTCCCTGTCTGTCTGTCTTTGTCTTTGTTTCTGTCTGTGTCTGTGTGTCTCTGTCTTTGTTTCTCTGTCTGTCTCTGTGTCTCTGTCTGTCTGTCTGTCTTTGTCTCTGTCTTTGTTTCTCTGTCTGTGTGTCTCTGTCTCTCTGTGTCTCTGTCTGTCTCTGTCTTTGTTTCTCTGTGTCTCTGTCTGTCTGTCTGTCTGTCTCCCTCTAGGGGAGGCTGCTTTTGCATCTTCCTCTCCACAGATGCAGGAGTTTCCTTTTTTTCTCTCTTTCCAGCTAGAAGCTCATGGACAGTATCTCTTTGCTGGCTCGTCTGGTCGCGGCTAAAAGCCCTTCTGGCTCCTAACTCCACAGAGCCACCCCGGGGGGAGAGGGAAAAAATACAAACCAGCCAGAGCCCTGCGGGACAGGAGGACTTGTGTTTGTCTGGAGGTCAAGATGGTTTTCTCCCGAACACTCCAGATGACTCCAGCGTGCACGCGCCCTGGCCCTGGCCAACTTCCTCCTGAGCACCGCTGCGTGGGAAAGAAGCCAAACAAACCCTCCCCGGCGGTGTTCTAGCAAGTTCCAGTCATGCACACAAAACTAGTGATCCTGAGGCGGGGACCGGTGGCTCCCGCCTGTCATCCCAGCTACTCAGGAGGCTGAGATCGGAGGATCGAGGTTTGAAGCCAGCCTGGGGACAGGAAAAGTCCGGGGAGAATCTTATCTCCAATTAAACACACACACACACACACACACACACACACACACACAAACAGAAGGGGTGCTGTGTGGCTCAAGGGGTAGAGTGCTAGCTCTGTTCATTAAAAGCTCAGGGACAGTACCCAGGCCCTGAGCTCCAAGCCCAGGACCAGCACAAAATGATAATGATAAAATAATAATAATAATAATGTGACATGCAATGAGCTCTGAAAGCTAGAAGCGCCAGGAGCTCATGCCTGGAATCCCGGCTACTCAAGGGGCTAAGATCTGGAGGATCAAGAGCAAAGCAACCTTAGAAAAGTCCAGGAGACTGTGTCTGCAAACCAACCAGTCCAAAAAGCACTTCTAAGAGTTGTGGCTCCCGCGGTAGAGGACCAACTGAATGAGTGAGCCAATGAAAGAATAAGGTTGAGAGTTCAAGTCCCAGTATTGCCCCCAGATAAACACACCCACAAACACACACCTTATTAAGAGAAGGAAATAAGGTTGTGATTATGAAATTATCAAGATGGTTCTCAGAAATCACTATTAGTGGGGCTGGGCAGGTGGCTCAGTGGTAGAGCGCTTGCCTTGCATGCATGAGGGCCCTGGGTTCGAGTCCTCAGCACCACATAAGCAAAAAATGCCAGAAGTGGCACTGTGGCTCAAGTGGTAGAGCGCCAGCCTTGAGCTGAAGAGCTGAGGGACAGCGCCCAGGCCCCGAGTTCAAGCCCCACGACTGACAAACAGAAAACAAAAAGAATTGTAGCATCTTGAAAAAGAAGGTATAATTCCCTGCGGACCTGCGCAGGCGCTGTGACTCGGGGTCACCGGGGTCCTGCGTTCTTGGCCATTGTTTCCCGCAAGCCGAAAGCCCAGGCTTTTCAACTGGTCTTGAAACACATTTTCACACACTTGTGAAGGACTGAGAAAACTCTTTCCAGACTGCTGGCCGGACAAAGCCTTCTTTGTTTTTCTTTCTCATTTTGTTCTGCACAGTAGCACGCTTGTGCATTCTCGGGAAAGCACTTGCTTTGAATTCTGTCGCAGGCTGACCCCAAAGAATCTCTGGGCTGATTTTCAGAAACTGCCCATGGACAAGTCCACTGTATTTCTCCAGTAGGATCATTTTGTTGGTTTTTCTCTTAAAACACAGCCAATATCACATCTTCTCAGTCATAGAGCTTTTATTTATTTATTTTTTTGGAAGTGCTGGGGCTTGAACTCAGGGCCTGGGCGCTGTCCCTTAGCTCTTCAGCTCAAGGCTGGTGTTCTACCACCTGAGCCACAGCACCACTTCCAGTTTTCTGGTGGTTCATGGGAGATCAGAGTCTCATGGACTTTCCTGCCAGGGCTGGCTTTGAACCCGTGATCCTCAGATCTCAGCCTCCTGAGTGGCTGGGACGACAGGCGACCAGCTCTGATAAAACACTGTGAAGAATAATGCGTGTGCATCTATAGCGCAAAGAGCCAAGCGCTTACTGAACTGCAAACTCAGTATTTATTTCGCAGTGAATTTCCAGTTCTCAGAACGATGGTCGAGATCCAATGATGACAAAGTACAATTCATTGGCCAGTCTAGATTGCATTTCTCTCAATGCCAGATTGCACAGATTGATTTTTATTATTATTATTTTATGGTCCTCGGGAATTGATTTTTACCTTTCTGCTCCTGTGGTGGTTTTTCCTTTCTCACGTCAATTAAAAATGCCAAGGAAATAGCCTGGCCCGTGGCTGCTAGGGCAGATAGTAAGAGTAAGAAAATGGTTTGCCAAGCGCTTTTATCCCTGCAATCACATTTCAACGCTGCTGCTAAAGCGTCAGGAAATGTGAAACGTGGTGACGATCCTTCCTGGCTTGCCAGTCAGAAGCGCCAGGCTGCCCGGGGGCCAGGGTCGCTCTGCGATCTCACACACCGCCAGGCAAAGGCCAAGGGCAGACGCCAGAGTCCCAGAGTCCTGCGAGCCACCGGGGCGGATAACGTGGACGTATTCCCGCAAGAACTCACAACCCGGGTGTGAAAGGTGAGTTTCTCCCCTCTGACAGCCTGGACGCCTCTTTGCGAAAACATCATCATCATCGGGGGCTGGGCAGGTGGCTCAGTGGGAGAGCGCTCGCCTCGCATGCATGAGGCCCTGGGTTCAATTCCTCAGTACCACATAAGCAGAAAAAACAGGAAGTGGCGCTGTGGCTCAAGTGGTAAAGCGCCAGCCTTGAGCTGAAGAGCTGAGGGACAGCGCCCAGGCCCAGAGTTCAAGCCCCAGGACCGGACCAAAAAAAAAAAAAATTTATAGGATTTCTCCTTTAAGGATTTGTTAGCTACTTATTTATTTTTATTTGTTTCTTTTGTCAGTTGTGGGCCTTGAACTCGGGGCCTGGGCGCTGTCCCTGGGCTCTTTTTGCTCAAGGCTGGCGCTCTACAGCTTGAACCACAACTCCACTGCCGGTGTTCTGGTGGGTCAATGGCGCTAAGAGTCTCATGGACTTTCCTACCCAGGCTGGCCTCCAGCCACAATCCTCAGACCTCAGCCTCCGGAGTAGCCAAGGGTACAGGCGTGAGCTTAGGGCGCCCAGCCGAAGGTTCATTTTTCCCTCCCTCTTCCTCTCGCAGCTTAAATATAGTTGAATAAAACATTTTTTATATGAGTGGTCAGGAAACGAAGAAGAAAAAAGAGTGAGCAAAGCTGGACCTCCACCGCTTCAGACATGGTCAAACTGAACATTCTTCCTCTCCATCCCCACCGGCTCTCTCTTTTCACAGCAAGCATCTCACACGGTAAACCTCCCAGAGCTCCTAGGAGGGTGGATTCCCAGAACGTTCCAGAACATTCCAGAACCCCCAACCCTCCCGACACCAACATCACCCCCCCCACCCGCTTCCATTTACTCCCAAGCCACGTGAAGCTCTAACCGAGAGACCTGCCATGCCCGGATTGCTCCCCTCCTTCCCCCGACCTCCCCACCTCCCCCCTCCAAAACGGCGGGAGACCCCCCCCGGAAACAGTGACCAGGCCCAAGGACAAAAAAAAACATAGAGCTAGAAATAAGATAGGTGCAAACACGCATGTGTGTATTTTATGGGTGCTTATAATTCTATATACTTATATATTTTACATATAGTGATAACCATGTAGTTGTATATTTCATATGTACTTATAAGTTTATGTTTGTATATGTTATCTATATTTATAATTATGTGATTATATATTTATATAGATTTTGAATCATCTAGATCTATTTAGAATCTTACATATTTGTATATTTTATATATTTAGAATCATACATATTTCATGTTTATAATTGGATATTTGTCTATTTTATACATACTTATATGTTTATATATTTTATATATTTAGAATCATATACATTTATATATTACATATATACTTATAATCTAATGTTTGTATCTTTTATATACTTAGAATCATATATTTTACATATTTATAATTATGTATTTGTATATTTTATATATGCTTATAATTACATATTTGTATATTTCCTATATTTAGAAATTTATATATTTATATATTGAATGGATTTATAATCTTATCTATTTGTATGTTCTATATATTTTATAATCATACATATTTTATATGTGTATAATTCTATATTTGTATATTTTATATAATTAAATATTTATAATTATATAATACTTACGGTTAAATATTTACATAGTTTATTTAGAACCGTCTATGTTTATACGTTGGATATATATTTATGATCTCGTGTATGTGTATTGCATGCGTTTACAATTGTGTGGTTATATATTTCACACCTTGCACCGTTTGGGACTCTGTGTGTATGACTGTGTGTGTTCAGCGGTGTGTGTCTGTGTGTGTATGACTGTGTGTGTTCAGCGGTGTGTGTCTGAGTGTGTATGACTGTGTGTGTTCAGCGGTGTGTGTCTGTGTGTGTATCTGGCCATTTCCCATTCTGTGGAGGACGCGATGGGAGGAAGGCCTGCGGGTGTCTGGAATGGGCAGAGATGGCGGGGGGGGGCACTGACCTGGGGGAAGAGGGCGAAGGTGGCGCTGTCGATGGTGAAGGAGTGGAGCAGCTCGCCGTCGTACCACATGCTGGTGCCCATGGGCGAGTTGAGTTTGGTCATGGCGAACAGGTGCGCGGGGTCGCAGCACTCCTCAATCTGCTTCCTGGGGGGAGACGTGGGGGGGGACGCAGGTGACTGGAGACGCACTCGCTTAACGCCTCCTCCTCCTCACACATGCACACACACAGACACACACTCACACACACACACACATCTCCACGGTGATGGCTATTCGTTCACTGCCAGCCGGCCACAGACCAGGACTATTTCCTAGGCATAAATGGAACCCGGGAGGCCAGGGGCCCGTGGCACCTGCCTGTCATCCCAGCTACTCGGGAGGCTGAGATCTGACGATCGAGGTTCAAAGCCAGCCCCGGGAGGTAAGTCCGTGAGCCTCTGATCTCCCACGAACCACCAGAAAACCAGCAGTGGCGCTGTGGCTCAAGGGGTAGAGCGCCAGCCTTGAGCTGAAGAGCTCAGGGACGGCGCCCAGGCCCTGAGTTCAAGTCCCACAACTGATCTGCTCCCGGCTGCAGCTGAAATCTCAAGAGGCAAATAGATAGATAAATATTACGATCCCAGATCTATTTGTTTATTTCTGGACAGATCTGACCATCCAGATCCAGGTCGAGCCTATGAGAGAGTGAGCCGAGACTCAGCTGTCTCCTGACTCACTCTCGGATGGGTGAGACCAGAAATTTCCATGAGCTCAGGACAGAGCAGGGTAACCCCCAAGGAAGGGACATTGGACGAGACTACAGACCAACCCTTTGAAGCCCGGCTGGGGAAATGCAGCTGGAGAGGACCTGGGCCAGCTGGAGGAGCCCCCGCGCGGCTGCTCGGAACCAGCAGTGCTCGGGCCATGATTGCTCAGGCAATCATGGTGCGCCATGTTGGATGCTGTCTGGGAGCTGCGTGTGGGGGACCGAGCCCAGCTCCAGTGTCCCCTAGACACAGGACCACGGCGGAGCATTTGTCCGTGCATTTCCCCAGGACATGATGACTCTATTCCACGGTGCGTATCACACACACACACACACACACACACACACACACACGGTGCATCTCCATGCATGCTAGCCTGCTTTCCACTCATGTCCCCTGTCCATCCTTCCAGCCTTCTCCTCCCGACCCGGTTCCTAGCACTCTTTTTATTGGGCTTTGACCTAAGTCTTCCTCAAGCATTGTACTATGAGCCGGGCGCCGGTGGCTCCCGCCTGTCGTCCCAGCTACTCAGGAGGCTGAGATCGGAGGATCACGGTTCAAGGCCAGCCCGGGCAGGAGAGTCCGTGAGACTCTGATCTCTAACAAACCACTAGAAAACCAGAGGTGGCACTGTGGCTCAAGTGGTAGAGTACCAGCCTTGAGCTGAGGGACAGCGCCCAGGCCCTGAGTTCAAGACCCAGGACCCACACAAAAGAAAAAAAAATTGTACTATTTGCCTTCTCCATAGTTATAATTCTGTTAATTCATTTATAACTGCTTGAGTACCATCCGGTGCGCTTTGTCCGAAGAAAGAAAATAGAAACATATTAAAAGTTAAAACTATATATTAACTATGTGAATAAATAGAAACAAATATCGAAGTAAATAAATGCATGAACTATACGTCAAGATAAATAAATACATTAAAAGTTAAAAAGAGAAGTTCGGGTTTGCGCCATGGCCCGTCCTCCCCCCACCCCCTCCTTCCCCCACAGCCTCCGACCTCCGACCTCCTGCGTGTCCCCAAACTCCTGGATTTCTCTTTACTCCCGGAGCAGCGTGTCACGTGGCCAGTGACATTTCAGTGACGTTTATGTCACTGTCATCCTGTTCCCGCCCATCTGCCAGTTAAAAGGAAGCAATGATCTGATCGGTTATTTCCTCTCTCCTCTGCTGTTGTGGTTGCGGAGGGACAGGGATTCGAACTCGGGCACCTGAGCTGTTTGCTCATTGGCTGGGTATTCTACCAATCCCAGGAAATCAATCTTTGCAAGAGACAAAGGGATGTGTGAGCCGAAACTTCTCCTGAGCGCTCATCTTTATCGGGTTCCTCTAGGTGCGGTGGAAGTGTGTGCAAGTTAGCTTTGCGCATCGCCTAAAAGCCATCCTGTGCCAACGCAAAGTCTACACATCCACAGCGGCAAACACAGGCAAACGCGCCCCCTCCCCCTCCTCCCTCCTTAATTTGCTAGTTTTTGTTCTGTACCAGTAATGGGACTTGAACTCAGGACCTGAGAGCTGTCCCTGAGCCTTTGCTGCTCAAGGCTGGCGCTCTACTACTTGAGCCACGGCTCCACGTCCAGTGTTCTGGTGGTTCACTGGAGATCAGAATCTCACAGATGTTCCTGCCCAGGCTGGCTTTGAATCGCGATCCTCCGGATCGCCGCCTCCTGAGTAGCTGGCCCGGCGGCCCGAGGTTTAATTCTCAAATAATTTTGTGATTCTCCCTTCGTGGCAGGAAAAAATACCATCTTGAAGAGCCAACAGTTAGCAGTCAAGCAGAGGCGTAGGCTCCGAAACACAAACACATGCTGAGGTGCGTTGAGAAAGGAAGAAGATATTTTTGAGTACAGACGGAGTAACTCGTGTGACAGTGAAGGAAGGAAGGAAGGACAAATGGGCAAGGCGAAGGGACGGCAGAGATAAAACCCAGCTGCTTAGGTTTCTTCTTTTCCTTCTAATTTGTGAATGAGATCATCAGAGACTGAAAAGCAGACGCACGATGCATTTCGTCCAAAACAGCCAATGCTGACGCGTGAATAACACGGACAACGGAGAAAGATAGGGGTATTGGTCACCACTGCCTTTCGAAGACAGCGACGGTTAACCCTTAACAACTGAGCCACGCCGGCGGCTCCCGCCTGTCATCCCGGCTACTCAGGAGGCTGAGATCTGAGGATCGGGGTTCAAAGCCAGCCTGGGCAGGAAAGTCCGTGAAACTCTGATCTCCAAGGAACCACCAAAAAGCTGGAAGTGGAGCTGTGGCTCAAGCGGTAGAGCACCAGCCTTGAGCTACAAAGCATAGGGACAGAGCCTAGGCCCAGAGTTCAAACCCCAGAACTAGGATGGATGGATGGATAGATAGATAGATGGATGGATGGATAGATAGATAGATGGATGGATGGATGGATGGATGGATGGATAGATAGATGGATGGATGGATGGATGGATAGATGGATGGATGGATGGATGGATGGATGGATAGATAGATGGATGGATGGATGGATGGATAGATGGATGGATGGATGGATGGATGGATGGATGGATGGATGGATAGATGGATGGATGGATGGATGGATGGATGGATAGATGGATGGATAGATGGATGGATGGATGGATGGATAGATGGATGGATGGATGGATGGATGGATAGATAGATGGATGGATGGATCAGTCCATCCTACTTTTCTCTCTGCCTATTGCTTCTAGTTGATTCTATCCTGATCCCTGATGATTGCTTCCACTGGTTACTGAACTCCATTGTTCAGGTTCCTTTATCTTTTATTTATTTTTGTACTTC